AAGAGCCTTTGACGGAATAACAATAATTTGACAAATAGAAGTCAAAATCAGATAAAACGCACTCAAAGTATCGAATAAATTGGCTATCTGCAGATGAAGACGACAGATAATCAAATTGTATATACTAGCATCTATGTTATATCCGACACTAAATATCAAAACCCGTAATGAAGAGTAAACACAGAGAGAAAATCAGCCACATTGTATACAATAAGATAGATTGAACATGGATGTTTTTCATAGCAGAGATGTTGACGGGTTAGCCCGTTTTGCTTCAACCTGCCCGACCCGTAGCCCGCAGGCCTGGTTGGACCTCTAACGAGTCATGGGTTAACAGGTTAGAATTTTCCAGATTTACGGGTTACTCGGGTCGGATTATATTTTTACGTGAACTCGCGGGTTTGACCCGATTCAACCCGTTTATGAATTTTTCTTGTCATCTTTAATTTTTTCTTTCCACATAGATTTACGCACACATTCATTTCATTTCTAACTTCCTTCGATAATTGGTTTTGTTTTTCCCACTAATTCTTACTTTAACATCAAAAGTCTTTGTATCATTTGTATTGACTGCATCTTGATTCTAGTCGTTCACTTAGTTGTTTTGAAGCATACATATACATGGATGCGCTTCTCATTTGAAATTTGCTTGTACAAAATACTAAGTTTGATCGTTTTTCTTTTGCATCTTCACATTTTCTCCGTTCGCTTCATCTTTTCTTAATATTTTTCCCGTTCATTCTGTCTTTTTAGTTTTTTCGAGCAGAGTGGCGCAACAAAAGAATCTATCTTTTCATATGTATATCAGTTTTTATTATAGTTTGTAGTCAATACGTCAGCCAAAATTTTCTAACAAGCTCAGTTACTGTCGAAAGACAGTTTCCTCAAGTTGTTATTGTTTATTGTGCTCGCAAATCACGTACAAAACCAAGCTTATTGAAAGGCTTGTTATTAGTTAGACCACTTTACAAAACGGGAATGAATGATATATAGTCTATCTAATTCTCAATTTTTTTGAACAGCTGTTACTTTCACTGGACTCTTTATCTTCCTGAATTGAACTTCAAATTTTGTAATACTTATGGATGTATTCACGGATAAAAGATAATATTTTGATGGTCAAAACATTTGTGTTAATAAGACGAATAAAAGAAAACGAATGTATCGATATACTAAACTTATGAATTTTTAATAGATACTATCCCAATTAAATTTCCATTAACCCGCAGGTTAACCCGCGGCCAGACCGTGACGGGTGGAAGAATCGTCAACCCGTGAAGTAGCCCGTGGGTCGAAAAAATATCGCTCAACCCGCCAAGCAAGTCGGGTTTGACGTCCAACGGGTCGTGTAAAAAAAAATGACTCACCAACATCTCTGTTTCATAGAGCTGTTTGAGTAAATAAGCACATGTCACAATTCCTCTGTACTTATTCAATATTCTCAAAGAGACTCGAGTAGAGACATGCGAAACAAAGCTTTTTCGGTTCTGATCCCAATCATTTTACAGGATGTTTCAAAAGTTTGATCGAAAAGTGAATGTGGATAATGTTTGAGATGTTCAAATGATCTACATATTTTCTTTAATGCTTTGATAATCTGCTCTTTTAAGTTTTATTTAGCACATTTTTGATAAAAAAAACAGATGGGTTAAATTGAATAGCAGTGTTTTGTATCTTAATTTTTCCAGCGTCTAATACTTTATCAAAAAAAAAACAAAATTTGACATTATATGATCGAAAGTTTTTATCCCTAAAAAAAAGATACACGTTTGTTCTTCCACTATGATCGTTTTCTAATGTTGATGACAAACTTTATGGAGCGCGAGAACCCATCGGAATGCGCCAAAATCTAGCTAGAGTCTTTGGATCCACTGGGAATCTAGTAATGGTAACGAATAAACTACTAGAAGCAACTTGACACTTGCGAATATCTAAGTCATAGTTATGCATTTTGATTTGATCAAATAAGGTTCTTTAGTGCTTGTCCACGACGGATTCGATAGAATGGATGACTGAAATACGGTAACCAAAAGATGAATTTCAGCAAAATATCGAATATCCTAGGAAAAATTGGTCTCTCAGTATCTTGAGGATATCTCTTTCGATATCTGTCGGCTTTAACATTATTGTTTTAATGACAAGATTCGTCTTTTTGATTCTCTACAAAAATGATATCTTTTTTCTTATTATAATTATTGTTCATCATTTGACGAGGTTTAGTTCACCAAGTAGTCGGAGAAACAGTATTTTGTAAAGCAAGTTAGTTTTTCACATCATAGATTGTAATTGTTTAACCCTTTGGCTGTCGACATAAGAGAAGAAAGAAACAATTTTGCAACAAATTAATTTGTTTTTTCTAGAAGAGTTCTATAGCATGCCTTAATAAAATGATGATTTGGGATGTGCACGATGCCTTACGTTTGTTTTTACACAAATTCGCGTGAAAAACATACATTATGAATGATTATTTTAGTTCACGTGAAGATGAGGCTTCTGACGTATATATACGTCGGTGACAGCCAAAGGATTAATAGATATTTCTTTCGATATTACTTTTTTTCCACTTGCTGAAATGCACAAGTTTACCTCAATTTGAATAGATCATTGTGTTTAAATCTAGAGTATGTGATGGTCAAAACTCTTCATCTACTACAGAGAAAATATTGTTTTTGCATCATTATCTGAGTTAGTGATGGATAGCAGGTTTTGCAGCAACTCAATCTTCTCTGAAGTTCTTATTTCTATGAATAAACAATATTTTATCTGTATTAGATGAAGAATTTTGATCGTCACATACTCTAGATTTTAAACATAATGATCTGTTCAAAACAGGGTGAATTTGTACATTCTATCAAGTGGAAAAAAAGTAATATCGACAGAAACATCTATTAAACAACAGCAGTCTATAAAACGCATGGCCCTTTTTGTCTTGAATTTTGCTTTCGAATGATCCAGAAATTGCTCTAGTCTTAAACGAATTACCAAGGACTCATCATGCAATTTTTACCACATTTTGAATGAAATTTTTGTTGAAACAGGTTTGGTCAACCAATATATAAACAAGCAAAGATTCGGATCATGTTCAAAGTACACCTCATACCCTATTTCTTTTTACCCATAAATTAGGAACAAGAACTTTGAAGGAATTGGTTTAAATTTGATTGATATATCTTATCGATAACATTTCTCATTCAAATTTGTTTTAGAAAATAATAAGTACAAGAACAAGTACAGAAGTACATATGAAGATATGGCTGGCTTGTGAACAGTCACTTTGGAAAAAGGAGGAATACGAAGGTTATTACTTTTTGCTGTAGGAAAAGCGTTTTCGGTATTTGAGACACATCAAAGTATCGAAATATTACCAAAATAAGAAAGTTATATAAACTTTCACCAGCATACAATTCTCAGCAGAAGTCAAAATAAAAGATTTACATGTGTCGAGAAAGTATTCTTTTCAACTATATAACTATATCAATAAGGACAAGACTTTCGAAATAAACAATATCTACTGACTGATGCGCTTCTTATTCAATAGATATATAAACATAAAAATCATAAGTTCATATAATGAATTTTAGGAATTTCTAAGGAAATATTTATATTAGATTCTGAATATATGTCAAAAAGATATTGTTAGCAATGTTTTATGTGTTTTTTTTCCATCAGAAAAAGGAAAACATAAAATAACTTATAATAATTTGTTTAAAAAACATGTTCAATGCTCGCTATTATAAAAAAGCGGCATATTTCGCTTAAATTGAAAAATTTAGGGGAGTTCTACATCGTCAAGCAACTAAGCTCAACTTTCTTTTTAATTGTTACTTGTGGTAAATATGAGTTGCAAATTTAAATCATGATATTGTTAAAGAAAACAACTAACTCTGTAAACAATACTCTCTCAGTATTCATGAGTGAGTATATTAGTGCTACAAAAAAAATTTCATAGATGCTCATCTTCAATTATTATTCGTTCTTTTCATTTTCATAGTCTCGATCTTCAAAGGACAAATGTTGGTTATGCGGCTCAATTTCTCTGTGACACAAAAATTCATCTGCCTTGTTTGCTGGAACTGATAATTACTTATGAATCACTAATAATGATAACAAACA